TTTATTTGGGGGGGGGGGGGTTTGGTTTTTTGTGGGGGGCGGGGGGGGGGGGGGGGAGTACATGGCATTGAGATGTGCTTGTGAAGAAACGCACATCTGTCCGCGGTTTGGTGCCAAACAGGCGTGCATGGCGCAGAGTCCTCGCGGCATGCATGCACACAAAAAAACTCCCAAAAACTCCCCACACGAAAACCGTCCAAAAACAAACACAACAGGTCGGCAGGAGGACCAGTAGACAAGAACAACAAAAGAGCGGCCGTATCGTGTTTCGATGTTCGACGTGCACAGTACCTGGTGAATGGCTCGACGCTCTCGTTGTTGCCCAGGATTTGCGCCGTGGACGCGGTGGGCATGGGGGCTAGCAGGAGCGAGTTGCGCAGCCCGTGTTGAGCCATCTTCGCCTGGATTGTTGAGCCGAAAAAAAAGCACAAAACAATACGCGGGCAGTCGTAGGCATCAAGCAGGGACAACGACCAGATGTGTACAAGAGAAGACCGCAACAATACCTTGTGAATGCCGACCTTCGGACCGTTCAGTATTTCCGCACCACCACCACCACCAACAGCATTCGAGATGCGAACAGAACGCAGAAAGACATGCTACGATCATCAAAAAAATCCTGCGACGAGCGTTTACTACTATGGCCAACACAACTGAACCTGAACGCGAGAAACACGCCACGAAACCGACCCCCCCCCCCGCCCACCACACCACCCTCCTATTATTGTACGGGTGCAAGGTCAACGGTCTAGCGTCCATGGCATGCGTTTACATGAGCATACACCCCCCCCGCCCCCCCCACCACACCAATGTCCTACCTTCAGCCCTGCCCAGTCCCAGCGGTCGGAGGGAGTGACCCCCCACATGTCGTACTGCAGGAGACCCTGAGAAGCTGGTGACCCTTCGTACGTCTCGTACGTGCCTTGCTTCTCGGCAAGCTGGAAAAAGTACAAGAGTACAAATTCATGGAAAAAAAAAAAAAATGGAAATCCAAGTGGGGTCCAGTCTCGTTGGATGGGGATATTATTCCGGATCACCCATGGTGGGAGGAAGAGAGTGGGGGATACGTAGGATGGGGTGGGGTGGGGGTGGGGGTGGGTCCGACGGAGGTAATCGTTCCAGAAATGTAAGCTAACAGGACGGGGAGACCTGCCTTAAAGCGTTACGTTGACACGGTCGATCACGCGTATCTGCAATGTTCGACCAGTGCCAAAGGCGGCCTCACGCAGACCAAGCCTGGTGCCCCAAAGTCGCAAATACACTCAGGATCGATTGCAGTAAGCATTTCCAAAGGCGTGTGGGCCCCTTTCAATAACAGGACAAGCGACAACAAGACGACGGAAGAAGACATCCGGGGGTAAAACAATCAAAAATAATCCAACCGATCCACTGGATGACATTTATTGGATACCACGCGATATGTAGCGCTGAAACCCAGAATACGCCGTTGATATATGTGCGCACCTCTACGGATGCCTCCACGGCACCGAAGTAGATCGTCTCGAAGATGTCCCTGTTCAGCTTGGCCGCCTTTTCCGACTCGAACGGGAACCGCATCTTGTTTTCGCCAAGCACCAACAAACAAACAAAAACAGACGGAACAGCAGAAATGGGCAAAAATACGGCTGGACGTACAGGCACCCGACGGGATTCCGTCCCGTACACGTACATGGATACCAGTCGTCTGTTCGAGGCCAGCTATTGCACCGGCGTTTGTTCCTGGAGAACACATACCATATTTTGTTCTTACAAAAATACATCATCTCTCCATCTCCAGACGAAATAATTCATTCCTACCCACATGAGTCATGTCTACCCACAGATGAAACAATCTCTATCCACAAATGAGTTAATCTCTGTCCACTGAAAAAGGGTCCGGGATAATATAGAAGATGTTCATTTCAGCCAGTGTTTGTTTGTTTTGATGCCGGAACACCAAGCATGGGATCTGGTGGCGGCTTCGAATCGACGAGCTATCATTAGCAACAGACAGCAACATTTACTTACCCCGCGTGAGAATCAAAGCATGCTTGAGAAAAAACGGCCCAACGAAAGAAAGAAACACCTTTTTCTCACCATGATGAAGGCGTCAGCGAGGCCCTGCACGCCCAGGCCCACGGGGCGGTGCCTGAAGTTGCTCCGCTTCGCCTCCTCGACGGGGTAGAAGTTGACGTCGATGACCCGGTTCAGGTTCCGCGTCACCACCTTCGTCACCTGGTCGAGAGTCATCGTCGTCGTAGTTTGTATTTGGTGGATGGGACTGTTGCCGTTGTTGTAAGTTGGTGGATGGGACTGTTGCCGTTGTTGTAAGTTGGTGGATGGGACTGTTGCCGTTGTTGTAAGTTGGTGGATGGGACTGTTGCCGTTGTTGTAAGTTGGTGGATGGGATTGTTGCCGTTGTTGTAAGTTTGGTGGATGGGAATTCATTTCAATGAAGAGAAGTCACTCTACGCACGCTAAAAAAAAAAAAAAATCTAACGCGCGCGTGTGTGAATTCAAGAACTATTCAGGTCAATGGAAGAGAAGTCAGTCTACTCACGCTAAAAAAAAAAATAAACTTCTAACGTGCGTGCGTGTGTGTGTGATTTCAAGAATTATAGTCCTCCACGGCACCATCTTTGTTCCTGATGGGCAAGATAGAGAAATAGACATTTTCTGCCTGCGGCGGTAACGTCCCCCACCTCGTAGAGGCGGTGGAAGTCGAAGGCCGGCTGTCCGTCCTCGCCCGCGGAAACGAAGGCTGGCAGGCTGATCGACGCCAGGTTGCAGACGGCCACCTGAAGGCGAAAATCCACGGCGGCAAAAAGAGGCGGGAGGGTGTGGGGTGTAACCAGGGGGGTGGGGGGGGGGGAGTGGGTAAAAACAGATGCAATGGACGGTATTGACTGATCCACGGGATTGTTTGACCAGAGAGTTTGGTATTTAGTAGGACATGGAAGCGAGAAGTAGCGGGGCCAGCGGGATAGAAGTGGGGGGGGGGGAGAACAGGGCAACGGGGAAGGGGGCAATAGAAAAGGAAGAATGATTGGGGGCAAGGACAGGCAGTAGGAGCAAATAAGCAAGCAAGCAAGGAGAGAGGTAGAGCGAGAGCGACACAGAGAGACAGACAGAGAGCGTCAGAGAGAGAGAAAGAGAGAGAGAGAGAGAAAGAGAGAGAGAGACACACACAGACAGACAGACTAGTCGAGGAAATACGCCAAATATCATACTGTACAGAGCGATCTTCGCACACGACAACCCGGTATTGGCACCAAGAGTTGCAGGAGTTCGTCGGGGGGTCCACGTACTGTGCTTCCATTCGGTACGGTGCGGTATACGGAATACGGTGGTACCAACCCCATAATACGAAATAAAGAAAAAAAAATGGCATAGATACCTCGTCGGGGTCGGTGTTCTGTTGCCATTCGCTAAGGTACGGGCTACGGTATACGATACCCGCCTCATGGTTCGAAAAAAAGAAAAGTTAATATCGAGCTTATGACAAGGTGTCGTGGGTATCCAAGTCAACTTATTTACAAGATATTTCGTATTTAAATAACCAAATGTTTCAAATATGGAGAGACAAATGAAGTCATAGATACCTCGTCGGGGTCGGTGTACTCGATGATCTCCGTGCAGAGGTTGGAGGACTTGATGGTGCCCAAGTTCTTCTGGTTGCTCTTGCTGTTGCACGCGTCCTTGAACAGCATGTACGGCGTGCCAGTCTCAACCTGGGGACACGACACCAAGAAATGACACGCAGAGGGGAGCGGAGGGAAGCAAAAAGCTTGTTGTTGTTGGCGTGGTGGTAGTTGTTGTTTCTGCAGCTGCTGACGTTGTTATGTTGTTGTCGTCAGCGCATACGTTGCCGCAAGCACATGCGTTTGTGCCCAACACGCCAGAACGCATGCGTGCAGGCCGCCGTGCCGCCCTCGAGCCTTCCGCTCCTTCTCTACCGTGCATACATGGCACTAGCAACAGTTCCATCAACGCGAACAGATGGTAATATTGTTTCCCATCAACGTTGTCGTTTTGTCCTGGCACCCCCGTGTGTCCCACCAGCACAGCTGCGGTCTCAACCCGTCCACACCCACCACACCACCACGCACGGCAAACACACCTGCGCGTCCATGATGGCCACCCAGAGCTGTCGGGCCTTTATGGAGCGGCGGGCGAGGCCCTTGGCTTCGTAGGACTTGTACAGGGCCTCGAACTCGTCGCCGAACACGTCGGGCAGGCCGGGAGCCTCGTTCGGGCAGAACAGGCTCCAGTCCCCGTCTTGTGGGAGTTGTCGTTGTCGTTGTCGTTGTTGTTGTTGTTGGTGGTGGTGTTGTTGTTGTTGTTGTTGTTGTCAGTGGTGGCGGTAGTGTTGTTGACATCGTTGGTGGTGGTGGCGATTGTCGACAGTTTTTTCATTGCAAATAAAATAAAAAAATGTTTTTGGATGTCAGTCAAGCGAATGGAGTGGGGCAAGGGGGGACGAGAACGACTACTTGTACGCGGCAGGAGAGCCTTGGAGAGGATACAGCAGTGCCAACAGCAGCAGTACTGCCGTGGCGCAAACGAACGAAGTGAGACGGCGGCGAGAGTGGGCGGCGGGAAAGCGCACCGCACGTGCTGTTCGTGTTGGAAAAGGAGTGCCAGGCTTGCCGGGACGCATTGAGAGTTCTCGCAACGTCGTCGTGTTCTTCAAAGTGTTCCGAAAAACAGAACATAAAAAAAGAAACAGAGACGTCGCTCATCATCACCACGGGCGTTGGCCACCATTTCTGATTCGAATCCGCCGCTGAAGGCGTGTTTTTCTGAGGTAAGAAGATGTTGTCCTCTCGTTCTTATTCTCGGCAACAAAACAAAAAAAAACTCGTCCCGTCAAGATTTGGGCCTCTCCTGGGTACGGATCGATCCCTGCCCCAGACGCCCCCCCCCCGACCGGTCCTTCACCCCCCGCGGTCGGGTCGGCTCTCGCTTTTTTTACGACCGAAAGTGGACTCTTGCAGGTAGGGATAACCAACCGAGAGAGTGAAAAGATTCGTTTAGCTCCTTCCCCTCCGAGGCGAACGCGCAAAAAAACGAAAGGATCTGAAAAAAAAAAAAAAAGGCGGGCTGCTTCTTCTTACCAGCCTCCACCCTCTTCATGAAGAGGTCGGGGATCCACAGGGCGTAGAACAGGTCGCGAGCGCGCTCGAGCTCGTTGCCATGGTTTTTACTGGAGGTATCGATTACATCAAGCAGACAATAGAGAGGGGGGGGAGGGAGTCAGATGGTAAGCGATAGGATATCCGAAGTGCGATACGGCATTGTCGTGATTGAAGGGGGTTATTTCTTGAAGCGCGAAGGGGGAAGAGAGAGATAGACAAAGAGTGGGAGGCGTTGTCGTGATTAAAGATGGTTATATCGTTATTTCTTGAAGCGGGAAGGGGGGAGAGATAGACGAAGGGCGGGGAAGGAAGCCTTGTCGTATTCGCAAGGGGGTCGTTTTTTCAGGCAGCCTCTGCGCATGTGCACGCCCCGTGCGAAGGGCTCAGGCCAGTCTTTCAAGTACACATATACCGTAGATACCACCCCTGGACCGAATTTCATGTAGCCCTATGCCGAAAATCAAGTGATACTGTACTGTACGTTTTCGGGAGGCGCTCTTGACGACAAGGTTCCAACGACGACAGTTTCGGGACCACGACCCTTTCTGCTTGAGGAGTAAACGAGCTGTGTGTGTGGGGGGGTGATATCTTACGCGACGTCAATTCACCCTCAGTTTTTCCCGAGACCCCACCACTCGAGCACAATTTGAGACCTCGCGGTTGGTACAAGCCCAAATGCAACCGTACCCCCCCCCCCGCTCCCCTTCGATCCCCACGAGCGGTGCCCCCTTCTCACCGAAGGTCAAGGAAGGCGAAAATGTCGGCGTGCCACGGCTCCCGGTACATGGCGAAAGAACCCTTGCGCTTCCCCCCTCCCTGATGATGACATTTTTTTTTTTTTTTTTGGGGGGGGCGGGTTCGAGAGAAGGAGAGACACGAGGACAAGGAAACATGCAACACACAGGGGTGGGGGCGCACCTCGCCTGAAACCTGCTGGGAACAACGGAAGAACTCAACCGACACGAAACTTTCCCCGCTGCCCTTTTGCGATTTGGTACGCGAAGCGATCAAGGACGCGCAGTGGTCGAGATACGTTGCCTCTGGGCACACTATGCAGAGCCGATGAACAACACGCAACACATGGACGGGCGCCTTGCGCACTATGGAGAGCGACAGACGACACGTAGTAACATGGAGACATGTTGCCTCTTGCACTCTATGCAGAGCGACAGACGAGACGCACCATGGAGAGATATTTTGCCTCTTACGCACTACGTAGAGAAAATACATGACACCTAGCATGGAGATATATGTTGCCTCTTGTGCACTACGTGGAGCGACACACAACATGCGGCATGGAAAGAAAAAAAAACGTACGTCCTACATTTGCCACTGCCTGCTGCTGTTGTTGTCGGTCTGGGAGCAACACTCAGAGAGAGATTTTTGCTATCTTCCCCGTAGGGTTAGTTTCTTTGGCGATCGAAGGAGTATCGCTCGCACATGCGCTTCGCATACAACACACGCCGGTCGACGTAGCGGAATCACACCACGCGCAACATACAGAACTGCCTTCCGCACTACGTTGCGGAGCGACAGACGGCACGCAACATGGAGAGATGAGTTGCCTCTTACATAGAGCGGAAACACTACATGCAACGTGGGGACCGCCTACGCAGGGTTTTAAGAGTATCTAGAAAAAAAATAGGGAGGGGGCCACGCAGACTATATACCTAACCCTAACCCTACCCCCAAAGCACGGATTGGGTACTTTATCCCATGATGTTTGCTTAGTCAATTGTGCTGCGCAGACAGCAAGCAACGTGGCGAGATAGACAAAAAAAATGTCACACACCTGGTCGACGTAGCGGGCGGTGTCGTTGAAGACTCTGAGCATGGGCACGAGACCGTTGGAAGAGCCGTTGGACCCGGCCACGTAGGAGTCCGTCGCCCGGATGCTGTGGATCGAGACTCCGATTCCGCCCGCGAACTTGGAGATGCACGCGCACTGATGTATGCGGGGCGCGACAAAAAAAAAGAAAAAAACACAAGACACGATACATACGAGAGAGAGAGACAAAAGAGAGAGTTAGGCGGAGAGAGGACGACCAAGTCAGCAAGAAACGACGGCACCAGACACGCCTCCGCCGACAGCAGTCCACACGGGGACGGGTGTACCGAGGGAGAAACGCCTTCGACGGCGTCGAAGAGGCGCGTTGGGCGCAGCAGGGAAAAACTCGGCGGGGTCCATGAAGGACAATACTCGAGGGCTCTGTCTACGTAGATGAAGAGGGACGATCGACGCACGAAAAAAGGGATCTACGTAGATGATGATGACCCACGATCGATGGGGGACGGCCGGCGGCGGCGGCGGCGGCGGCGGCGGTGACAGCGGTGGCGCTCTGTGACCAGGATACACATACTGCACCTGCTTGAGCGTGTCGTAGATGCCCTCGATGCTGTCCTCTTTGACGTTGAGCAGGAAGCAGCTGGACAGCTGCGGGCGAGGGGTCCCGGCGTTGAACAGCGTCGGGGAGGCGTGGGTGAAGAGCCGCTGCGACATTAGGTCGTACGACTCGATGGCGCTGTCGATGTCGGTCTGAGAGAGCAATAGAGAGATCAATAGAGAGAGACACACACAGAGAGACAGAGAGAGAGAGAGAGAGAGAGAGGGAGGGAGAGAGAGACAGACAGAGACCGAGAGAGAGAGACCGAGAGAGACAGAGAGAGAGAGAGCGGGGGGCACGCCAAAATACGGGAACAGAGAGGCAGGGGGGGGTTAAGCTACACGCTGAACCAGTAGTCGGAGAGGGACAGAGACCGACTGATTGCATGAAACCGAACAAATAAAAGGCAAGAAGAGCCACGACGGAAAGGACCAAAGAAAAAGAAAAGGAACAACAGAAATACAAGTGCCTTCGTGACCAAAGACAAAAAAAACAAACAAGAAACGGACGTTATACTAGCGCGCCCGACACACAACCGCCAAGACGCAGGTACGCCGTGCATCAAGATCAAGCACGCCGGCTCTGCGGCGGGGTGGAAGAGGTCGAAAGCAAGCAAGTAAGTACCTGGTGGATGCCGATAGCGACTCGCATGAGCATGTGCTGGATGCGCTCGACCACGAAGCCGTTGGCCCTGCGAAAACGAAGACAACAAAAAGAGCATTTATACGTAAGAGAAAAAACAGAAAGAAAGAAAGCGCGAGCGCAAAAGCGATGACGAGACAAGATGATGGGATTGACCCAGGAGAGAAGTGCTATGGTTGACGACGGCAACCATCTACGCGGGCCGCCGAAGAGCGACAGACGACAAAACTACAACGACAACGACGGGGGGTATGTATGTGTGTGCCGTTGGAAGAAGTATCGACCAAGCTACTGCTGTACCCGGCTGACCAATACAAGAGGTCAGTCTCAGTGCGGCTGAAAACGGCATGAGCTTCTACAGGCCACGATCTGGGACCCCGTGAGGGGGCTGTCCCGGGAGAGGCGAGGCTGTTCTCCGGATTCAAGACGGAAAAACGGTACGCGGTAGAAGAGAGCTACACGTGCGTTGGTGTCTATTGTTCCTCGCTCGACGACTGCCTTTACCCGGACAAGCTACACAACAAAAGGTGTTCAAGAGGACAGAATGTACCTCTACAAGCTTGCTTCCCATAAAACAGTTTTAGGAAGAACGTTGTGGAGGAGGCGTGTTCGTCGACAAGCCGAACGACACAAGGAATACGACAGCACGGATGCCTCTACCCCGACAAGAGCTACACAACGCGCAAGGGTTTTCGGCAAGTGCGGGGGCGTGTTCGCCAACTTCGTGTTGACGGAGGTGTTCGACCCCCGTCCCCGTCCCTTGCCTGAGGAGGTAAGACTTCTCAAGGGTCTTGAAACCGAAGTAGTCGTACTCGAAGTCGCGCTCATCCTGGATGGCGGAGTCGAGGACCTCTTTGTTCTGACCAAAAAAATAAGAGACACGAACACGCAACAACATGCAAAGACATTGATTACTAAAATCACTAAACCCGTAACTATAATAACCACAACAACATGCAAAGACATTGATTACTAAAATCACTAAACCCGTAACTATAATAACCACAACAACATGCAAAGACATTGATTACTAAAATCACCAAACCCGTAACTATAATAACCACAACAACATGCAAAGACATTTATTACTAAAATCACCAAACCCGTAACTATAATAACCACAACAACATGCAAAGACATTGATTACTAAAATCACCAAACCCGTAACTATAATAACCACAACAACATGCAAAGACATTGATTACTAAAATCACCAAACCCGTAACTATAATAACCACAACAACATGCAAAGACATTGATTACTAAAATCACCAAACCCGTAACTATAATAACCACAACAACATGCAAAGACATTGATTACTAAAATCACCAAACCCGTAACTATAATAACCACAACAACAGACAAGGACGGAGATGCAAGTAACAAAGCAAACAAACATATTTCGCTGTGGGTGGGCACACGCATGGGCGGGGAGACGAGGAAACGGGCAAACGAAAGCAAAGAACAACGCAGACATCACGCGCACCCGCTCCCACGGAACAACGACAACAACAACAACAACAACAACAACCATACCTCCATGACGATGCGGAAGACCTCGTCCGAGATGAGCGACGACCTCTCTCCGGTCTGTGGCAAAACGTAGGTGTGCAGCATCTCAATGGTCTTGCTGAAAGTCTTCCAGGTGCACTTGTGGAGGTTGGACACGGAGATGCGAGCCGCCAGGAGCGACATGTCGGCTGCTCGTCGAAGGGGAGGGAGGGAGGGAGGGAGGGAGGGAGAGGGAGGATGGGAGGACGGGAGAGAGAGAGAGAGAGCGAGACAGACAGACAGAGGGGGAGAGTGAGGGGGGGGAGGGCGGGGGGGGCAGAGGGAGAGAGAGGGAGAGGGAGAGGGAGAGGGAGAGAGACAGAGACAGAGACACGGATACAGGGGGAGGAGCGAGAGAGACTGTGAATCAGACAGACAGACGGACAGACGGACAGACGCTGGGAGAGAGAAGCGGGTCAGGGGGTCGACGGGGGAGCGGCGGAACACAATATGTCCGCCTGCCTCCACGTCGACGGAAACTATCGGGTCATGGCAACCGACTCGAGACAGAGGAATCTCACTCTCCATCACCAGGTCCTTGGGGACCCTTTCAAGTGCCACATGTAAGAGGAAGGGGGTTTTGAAACCAAGCGAGGCGCCGTCGTGGATCCTGGCTGGCTTCCCCACAACAGGCCCGAGACGATGCACGAAAAAGTTTTCGCCGCGCACTCACGAACTGCACACCGCGTGGCTGTCAGGTGGCATACACTGTTCGACGGTTGGGGGGTGGGGGGCGTACTAAATAATTGGCCACAGCGGTCCCATGGGTTTTCCAGGACTTGAAGGTCTCACACGTTCACCTACCTGCATGTGGATGTGTGAAGAGTTTGGCAGCAGCGCTCTTCCGTGCGGAAAAAAAAAAAAAACGATTGTACTTAACAGCTGGGTGTTGCAAGTGGATGCCGAACACCCATATTAATCGGCACTTCTCACACGCAGGTGACGTCGACAAACCACGTACGTACGCACCTGGCCGTCACGCGTACGTCAAGCGCCCGTCATATCCTACCTACCCGCGGCAATTAGAACTATTTAGAAGCCTTGTCTACGTGAATACCAATCCATCGATACAGATGATGTAAAGCGATGAAGAAACAAACGAACCACACATGCGCACAAAAGGCTAGACGGGAAGACAGCGCATAGGTGCTGCAGCACCTAGTACTATTAGATGCTTTTGCGTATGGCATACCACCCCTCCCAGTTCACCCACACCGCGAATAAAAGGCTACGAGAGAAGGGAGGAAGACAGATACAATATAGCTACACCACACAGTTCCACATGCTCACGGTGCTGCGTCGCTTGGTAGGCGGCGGTCTGCGCGGCCAGCTCATCGAGCTCGCTCGTGGTGACCCCCGGGTACACCCCGCTGATGACCTTCTGCGCGATGAGGGTGGGCTCCACGTACTTGGGGTCGAGGCCATAGCACAGGTGGCTGATCCGGGCCGTGATCTTGTCGAAGGACACCGTTTCCTTGCGGCCGTCGCGCTTAATCACGAACATCCTGCTGCCTCCTTCTCACTGCACCAAAAATGTGCTACTGGTACGTTTGTGTGTGCTGCTCCCGGGCTATAGCTAGCTCTCTCCGTCTGCCGATGCTGCTCCTTACTGCTGGCGGGGGACGGCAGGACGCGGCACAGAGGGGATGTACTCATGCAAACGCATGTCGCGGTCGTTAGACCTCGCATGCCGGGACGGAGCGATATATATATATGCCGGGTTGTCGCCGGCCCAGGCAAGAGACTGTGAGTGGGGGTTTAAGCAAGAACAACAGCAGACCACCTGCAATATTCTTGATGGAACAATGGAAAAAGATGGAAACACTTTGTTGCCTATATCCTCCTATTGCGCATGAAGTGGTCAGTGGAGTGCCGATTTCATGGCTCGGTACACATCGTGGTGCAGACCGAAAGGAGCAACAAGGGCTTCTCGCATGCAACGCCCTCATTGCACACAACTATTTTAGACGCCTTCGCTATTGGCTGACTGGTGTTGCTCGGTGCTCTAATGGTAGAGTCAACACTTTGCATACTCACACACTTGAACCATGGAGGCTGAAAGCACGTGGCGGTTATGCCATCCAGCCGTGAATTGAATCAGCTGAGCGTGTTCGGAGAGATAATCGGATGCCAGGTTGGGTTGCGTGATGATGATCGCGATAATTGCCGAACGAATCCATCCTGGATGAGTGAGCACCACTCACAGCGAGTTGCAGATTTTGAGGCACCCCCAAAACTGTGGTTTTCGCCCCACAACGCTGCAGACGGAGCACCATCTACAGTAGCACCTACCCTTTTTTGGAATATTAAATGCCCCGCCCCCCCAAATAATCGGAAACAGAGGGTCTATAGGGGTTCAAGGAAAAGATATTTGTTGCTTGTGCCGAGAGAGAAGAACAGAATCTAAGGAAAGAAACCGAGGAAAGGGGGGTCTAGAAGTGTACGGAATGTTGAAAGAAGGACTAGGGTTCAAGGATTACCTACATGGACCAATGGATGCAGGGACAAAACTTAAGGTCAAATTCAGGATCGAGGACATAGACCTTCGAGAACGTCGACGAAGACACAGGACGGTAGACGACGAAGACGACAAGTTCAAATGTGATTGCGGCTTCGAGTGCGAAGACCGTGTTCATGTAGTCGCGGAATGTCAGTTGTACGAAGAGGAGAGGGAAGTGTGTACATGACTGAGCTGGGAAAAATACAAGGGAGGTACAGGAAGACGTTTGAGGCATGGAATAGAGAGGAGAAGACGGTAGCTGTACTGGGGAGTAGGAAGTGGTTTGAAAAGGCGGGCAGTGACGTCGTCAGGATAGATAGACTAGGGACGACATTTTTGAGCCACCTTTGGCAACGTAGGAAGGAACGATTGGCCATCGGTGATCGGTCCTGTGGGAACAATGCTCCGTCCTCTCGAGGACGCGTGGTCGATGGTCCAACCGCCAAGGCATGCAAAACATAAGAGTACGCCCCTCCAAATAATAGCCATATTTCCTTGTGGCGGAAGATACCGCACCCACTGACCGATTTTCAAAGCTGGACTACTCCACGACGAAAAGGATGCATAAATCAAACGATACTACGTCGGAACGCTCTCGATCAGAAGGTTCCAATGCCCCACCACTTTTGGGCACCGTTAGTTCTTTGTGCAGCGCAGAGTAATCGGACCTTGCAAAAAAAAGTTCCGAGGGGGTGTGGTATCTTCCGAACCTTCGGTATCCGTGCGTATGTACAGCAGTAGATACGTAGATACGCTGTAGGCCGCGACGACTCTCCTCTAAAAGCAGCACGTGATAGCTCCGTTGTGGACAACGGACTCAACAAGACAGGTAGTTTGGTGGCCAAAACGTCAGTCGAACTGCTGTACTTACATCCTAGAGACCGTGGGTGTGAGCAGTCAATCGCCAGCACCTACAGGTAGACTAGAGCGCCAGACGATGGTGATAAGCGCACACTAAGTGGGTGACACTCCTCTGTGTGTGTGAGGACTGCATGATCTCGTCTTTGGTGGTGTGGTTGGTCATAGCTACACCACGATTTTGCTCGGGGTTGCGGACAGCTACTGCTGATATTTTGCCTGGCTCCGCGCAACTCCTCGATCTTTTCCAAACTCGACGAATTCACGAAAAATTCAAATTTCTGGCGCCAAATCAAAAAGAGCGTGTGCTTCACACAGCAGTACCCCATCTCGTATCATTCATCTACCGCAGCAGTTTCGACCCGCAAAGCAGAAACCCGCCAAGCATGCACCCCGAGGCACGAGGGCGAGACATGTATTGGACACCGTCGATCTCGAAGGGTCGTCAATGCAAGCATAAGGCGGCCGTAAAGCGCGTGGAGGTGTGCTCACCCGTGTGGTATCTGATGCTGGTGGTACGTATGTTAGGGGCTCTTGGTTTAGCTGCACACAGGCCAGTGCGCTAGTGCGCTATTCATCGACGCGTTTTTCAAGTGCAGATAGGAGCAGGTTGGCATTCTCTTACCTTGTCCTTGGTGTGCTGCTGCTCGGTGGCCGGTAGTGGGTCTGTCTCGAGTCTCGAGTCGCTGAGTGTCTGGTGGTGTCGCTGGGAGCTGGGAGTCCCGAGAGAGGGGGCCACAAGATGGGAATGTGCCACCCGAAGCGGGGATAGAGGGGGTCCGTGCGCGGCAGAAAAGGGTCAATGCCCCTTGGCCACTCACAGGCCGTGTATTATAAGGCTGACTCTTATGGCAACATGACAACCGAGAGTTGGCCCGACGGATTTTTTTGGACGGGCATACCCCCACCCCCCGGATTTGCCACGGATTCGACCAAGAGACAGACCTCTCACCACATCACCACAGAGTTCTCCCCCATGATTGTCGGATCGTCACCAGAACTTGAAGGCTGTACGCACCACACCTGTAGGCGTCTTTGAAGCTAGTGGTGACTGCTGTGGGGTCTGTGTGTGCTGAGAAATGTCAATCCATGTGAGCAAAAGTAAGAAACCGTATGGAGAATCCGTCGAGGATTCTATACGATAGTTTGGCCAAATCAATCCGAATGCTATACTGCATATATATGGTAGAAAATTGGTCCCGCGGAGAGCAGTCGAGGTAACCGGGAGTAATGTTAGTGGACGGCACGAGCAGTGGCACACGAGAGGTAAGAACCAAATAATTCAATGGGCTTGGCGGCAGCCAACGCGGTAAGTGTAGCCCGTATCAAAGCAAACACGCTGGGTATGTATCCGGTTTTCTCTCCATGACACCAACACTGTTGAATCCTGTACCACCACAAACAATCACCAACAGCGACATCGCTCCTTCCTTATGAGATCGTTCGAGGCTTGCCCACTCGTTTCGTTCCTTAATTTAGCCGCGTAACTCGACACAGCAGTGTCCGCCGTCATACCGCGTTGTCACTGCCTGCACACGTGTCGGACAGTTCTTCAGTGTAAATGTATTGACACGCGTACATAGACTATAGCAAATCCCTGAAGACCCTGGTGAAGACTCGCTTGCTTGCTGATTCATCTCTTTGGACAGCAGTGCATGCTAACCATCAGACACGTTATAAAACAACTTTCCACGGCGCAATCCATGTGTTGACGGAACCCAAACGCCAAGGGCTCCAAGTCGATCCTCGGGAAGGGCACGAACAAAATCGACTTTTCGTGCAACAAGGAAAAAACGACAATGGTTGGACTGTAGAAATCAACCATTACACACACAGCCCACAAGGGGGGCCGGGTCACCGCTAACTGACGACATCAGCAACCGCCCCGGCTTCTTCCCCGCCCTCGTCGCCGGAAACTTCTAAAGGAACCCGGACGTGGTGCGTCAACCCTCCATCGCCTCGTCGCTCCCCAACCTTGCAAGGGATGCTTCCCGGCGGAACCCAGTAGCTCTCCGCGTGCCGCTTGCCGTCACGACACCCCCGAGGCGGCGGCGTCGTTGGGCGGCGATCCCGCGACTTTGATTGGCGGGGCCCGGGTCTCCTGCCGAGCCGCGAGCATCGAGAAGGATGACGCTGCCGGGTGTCTTCTTCTCCCTGCACATTTGGACTGAGGATATACATATCGCACCAGCAGCAGCAGTAGTGGGGCATCACGCACCGCGGGGGGAAGAAGAGTGACCGTGGGGAGAAACGAAAGCTGTGTGTGTGTGTGTTTTCATTATTAGCACCGACCGCGCTAACCGGCTGACCAATGAAAAGACGCCAGGTTCAGTGCGGTGGAAAGCACAAAACGCTTTCTAAATGCCATCAACTGGGACCCCGTGAGGGGGCGGCACGGGGGAGACTAATCTATTCTCCGGATCAAAGACAGAAACGGTAGCAGCAGTGTGTGTGTGTGTGGGATGACACAGCCGTTTCATACTCTAAGGTCGCCACGGCGGTGGCAGGCTACTACTGCTGCAACCCGAAACGCGCGCGGAAGATACCTCTCCGAAGAGAGGCCGTCCACCCTGCGTGAAGGCAAACGAGTCTCGGGTTACTTATAGTAGCCGCCTTTGGGGTTTCTCCGCACTTACCCGCCACCGCCGATACCAGAGAGGATGGTCACGGCCCCCCGTATCGCTTCTCGCAGCTCATCGGCTCTCCGACCTTCGTTTCCTCCGTCCCCACCAGCGAGGACAGCCCTCGGCCTTGCCTGCGCCGCGCGCGGCCGCCGCCCCGTCCCACAGTCCGGCGGCCGTCCCGGGGAGGCCTCCCTCAGGATCGACTCGAGCGCCGTGCGAGCGGCGCCCAGAGCTATTCTCCTCCCGTTGTCGCTGTCTGCGAACGCGGAGTTCTCAAGGATTTCCCGTATCTCGCGCACGGAGCGATGGGTGCCGGTGTCACCGCCGCCGGGGTCTTGGGCAGCAGCTAGCTGCTGCCGGGTGACAGCGATGGATTGGCAGGGGCGGTATAGGCAGGGGGGAGGAAGGGCGTGGGTCGGTTGTTGGTTTCACGGCCCGTGGCGTTGCGCTCTCGAGGGACCGCGGCCCTCAGGTTTATCCCATCGATTCCGCCCATGGACTGAACTCATGGGCTCTCACAGCTGGTGCCTGCACGTCTTCCCCAAATCCGCAAAAAAAAGTACCATGGGAAGAAATATACAAGGTCAAACACCGCCACAATGCTAGAGCGTTGAACATTTTTTTTGTCAACAAGTAATCGCGTTGCAAAAAACGAAGGGATGCGCCAAAGCGGAGTTTTTCGGGTGATCATGACGATAACGATATGTAGGGAACGTATATAGCATAATCGGCGAAAGGGATGACGGAAACAGCGCAGTGCTTTTCTCTGCCCGCGCTGCTCAAAGTCATTGATGAGCGATCGATCGTGCAGCTTTCTTCGGCGCGGCCGTTGCAGCAAGAGAGGCGAGAAGCACCAGAAGGATGGGTAACCCCAACTAACCTCCGTAGCCCCCTCGACATCGTGCAGCGCTTGCCGGCCGAACCCGCGAGCGTCCCCCCTACGCGCCTTCGCCGAACGATGACGCTCTTTCGGGGTGGCGGAAACGGCGCGCCTGCAGCGTCCTCGGCGGCCCCCAGCCGCACCAGCGGACAGCGTCGTCCCGCTCGTGCCTGCCGGTCTCGCGGAGTCGACGCCGTCTCCCCGAGATTCCCCCGCCGACCTCGGACGGCGACGAACGGTGCCGTCACCCTTTCTGCGAATATCTTCACCCTGTGTTGTCGGTTTCGCGGGTCGGCATTGAGTCAAGACGCGACAAATGTCAAAACGGGGAGCAGTTTTGGGTAGGGAGGGAGTGGGGTGTCCAGGAGTACGGTCACAGTTCGTCGCAGGCTAAGCAGGCCGCAATTGCTCGACCAAAGTCGTACCGGATCGGACAGAAGAGAGCAGGTGCGGCAAGTGCAGGCGAAATTAAGGCATGGGGTACCAGGAGGTCTGCCAAATAGTCGAAGCTCGCCTGGTGTTTGGCTGAACAGAACCGACGTATGTTGCTTGTAGGCGCCGTAGTCGCCAGATTCTGACAAGATAAATAGGCGAGGATCTACAGCAGTAGTACTGCAGGAGCTCACCAAACGATCGAGGACAGTGGTGACTTCCTTGTGCCGCTCCTTTGCGAGCTTGAACGATCTCACGGCGATGGTCTTCGCCAGGCTCTCTACACACAATCCAGGCACAGGAGCAACGGCCAGGAGCAGAAGGTTGTTTCGCGAGACCTCGGGGGGGCGGGGGGGGCTGCTGCACAGAGGTCGCACGCATTGCATGTTTTTGCCACGAACTCCAACTAGAAGAAACCCTTCGGGCGTGAACGTCCTGCTATTGAGAACCAAGACCATCTATCAAGCAGCATCCTTGATACTACAAGAAAACGTCTCCGGACCAACTTATGTGGCTTCAAAGTACCCGCGTACGATATAGTCGTAAGTCTTGAACAAGGATAGTGATATCGTTCCGAAACTCACAACAGCCATCGATCCAAAGAGGAACGCCACACCCCGCCGGAATCAGTCTGCTCACCAGTCCTCTCGGACCGCTCGATCGCCTCTCTCCCAGCTTTGAGTGCCTCTTCCGCCACCTCGCTGGCCCTCCGCGCAACAGCCGTACCGTCTTCCACAGCTCCCAGCAAGGCATCGTTGTCGGCTTCCACGGTTAGAGTGCCAGCATCGCTGGCAAGAGGCGCCGCCGCGATCTCCGTCGACGGTGGTGGTGCGGACGGGCTGCGACGGACCGGACTGCGGCTTGCACTGCGACTGCGGGTAAGCCCTTCGCGGGCAAGCTCGGCGCAGCGCTCTAGACGACGGCCGCGGTCGCGTTGGTCGACTACTGTTGTAGCCGGCGACAGCAGCGAGGAGTCTCCGCCGCTGTGTCCCGCGCCCGCGCTCGTCTCTCCTATAGCCTCTTCAAGGCGACGCACACGTTCTTCGATCCTAGCGCACTCATCCCTTGCGGTCGCTACCGCTTCCGTTTTGGTCTCTGGGACTGCTGTTGCCTCCGCCGCGTCATTCTCCGACTGCGGCGAGTTACCAACTGCTGTAGTAGCCTTCGACCCACCGTCGCCCCCTCCTCCGCCGCTGCCGCTGCCACTGCCTGTTGTAATCTGGGCGGAGACGAGATTCCGCAGATCTTCTAGTTGCTTATCTACTCCTGTCATCCACTCTGAGAGACCGGCCGTGTTGATTTCATGAAGATCCGGCGGATAGACGGGGGGGTGTCTGGCGGAGGGAATACCATCATCACCCATACAGGTACCGACATCTAAATTGTAGGATTGTGCCATAGCAGCGTCGTCGACGGCGGCGCTTACGGCGTCGATCTGTTGCTCCAGGCTCTCGAGCCGTATTTCCATGACGTCATTGATCCTCCCTTGCTCCCTTCCCTGCTCTTCGCTGTACGTCTGCGCCAGGCGGACAAGCTTGGTGGCGCTCATTACCTACAGCGTTCAGCAACAACACACATTGAGGAGAAAAAATTACCATCTCGTTTTATACTGGACGTATGCATGAAAGTCTGCGTACGTATGTAGTCTAGGTGAGGTATGTGTGTGCGTGTGAGAGGGAGAGAGGATGCTAGCACTTCCACCCGTTCCGAAGTCGATCAAGGTACAGAATACATTCGCCGCGCTTGCCAACAACGACGCTTTCCAGCGCAGGCTGTCTGTCCGTGATACTATACAGCAGTATATACTCTTCGCACGGTGAAGTCGACGTTTTGTAGCCCGCACATTGCACACATCTATAGTTCTCTCTTTGCACGTACTTGATGAGCGCCACACCTTGTCTTCCGCGGCGGTGGCCTTGGCAGTGGCAGCGTCGATTCTACAACCGAAGTGTTGGCTCGTGATGCATGCCGCCGACACTCTCTCAAGCTGAATCTCGAGAAAGTTGAGATAAGCACCTCGATCGGTGAGCATTTTGTCTCTCTGCGCAGCGTCGAGGGTCACATTGCTTCGACGCTTGAACGCCTCGAAGTAGCTCCCATGGCCCTGGCTATTGGGTTGGAGCATGAGCTGGCGCCGTGAAACCGTGCGACTAGCAGGAAGTCTTTGGCGGGAAGTGTACTGCGGTATCTCCGCTGTATTATTGCTGTAGATCCGCCGCGACGCTGAAGATCTCTCGCTGTTTTTTTTTTCACAGGTGCCACGTGGACAGGTTTCTTGAAAATGCCCGGGTGGGTCTGTATCCAAATCTACAAATCACGGAAAAAGGGGGGGGGGGGGGGGAAGAAACAGCGTAATACAGCGCGGGCTTGCAGGCCGGCCCAAAACTCAACCAACCGCAGGGCAAAAGTACACACTCACGAGTGTGACAGCTCTCGCTGATCCGGAGGGTCAACCTACGCTTGTGTGTAGCACGAGGGAGCTCAGCTGCAAAGAAACAACTCGCTGATCAGGAAGGACCGACGCCATGTCGAGATCGCAGCGGCACGCGAATGGAGGAGGGAAGGGCAACGCGGATGTTGCCAAGGTACGCCCGACGGAGCTATGATAGCTATGTTCACAATTGTTCGTGGCTGTCCCGTGCCGCGTGTGTTTGTTCTTGCCCCTCGGGGCACGGGACGCCCTCGAATCTTACCGAAAAAGCGGCCGATTGCCCTTGTCCTTTGCTGCTATCCTCCGGGGACGCCATCTGTCGAAAAAGCAGGAGGTGGCCTCCCGAAAAAAACTCGGCATGTTTCCTCACTGCCCACACAGCAAAGGCGGCCGGCGGTGCTTTTTCTTTCCCCTTGGCCCTTCTCTCTCCCAGCCCACAGCCCCAGCCGCCTTGAGGCGATCTTGCCTAGTAGCGTTGCCAATCACGGACGCCTGATCTCCCTACGACCCGCTGCGGCCGCGGCGTGTCAGCTGCTGGCCACCGAAGAAATCCTGTTTCGGAGCGGAAATGGATGGAAGCGGACGGAGGGAAAAATTCCATCTTGGAATTAGAGGGGGCACCGGTCGGGATGTCCTTCCCTCTCGCACTACATGTATGCTCTGAAATCAGCCCCAAGAGAGGCGCGGCAAACTCGTCCTAGCAGATTTTGATTTCTTCTCGTTTTTCAAAAAACATCACGGCCATCCCCCGTCTTCCCATGTGTGCCGTGTGGAAAATTACCGTCTGACCCGTGGCCTTCCTGGAACACCGCTTACCCGGTGTATGGCCGCCGCCCTAGGCGTTCCATGGGTGAATCTTAATCTTTGGTGGTCTGGCTGGCCGTCTCTTTGCGTCTCTTTTTTGTGTTTGTTGTTGGTCCTTCGCAGTACCGCGATGCTTGCCCGGCGAGCCGCTCCGACTCTGAGATTGTGGAGCTGGTGAAAAAGATGGGAGGTGACCAGGCCAAGATCCAGAGCGCTCTTGAGGACTGGTGGCAAAGTGAGGAAAGGGAGGCTGCCGTCGTGTATGGGTGTGTTTGTGCGTGTCTTGTTTTGCTTACAAGTAATGGGTCGGTGTGTTGCCAGGGTGCAAGGATTAGGATTCAAATCCTCAACCTGCCGCCTATTGTAGTGATGTTTTTTTTATGGCACTACTCTCTGGCTATATTTATGCAACACACACACCCTTGAGGTGCAGTAATGTGTATGTACTGCTATTTCGGTGGTGCTGGGGGTCTTTCATTTTCGAATTTCATCGCGTAGATGTCCGCCTGATTCATCGCTGCCTAGAATCGCGCCCCATATGGTTAGCTGCGCCGCCCGTTGCGATAGCGGCAGAAGCAGTGCGATTATGAAGACTTGCACTGATACCAGCAAGCATGTAGGCGTCACCATGTTTTTCATCCATCTGGCTCTTTCTCCCGGGGGTATATGCTGGTACACATCTTTAATACCAAGGGCCCTACATGCAGCAGTTGTCCCGGAGATGATGCTTGGGCACACGCTGCCGTGTGTGTGTCCCTACAGTAGCTGCTCCTCGCCTTCGCTGGTCGCGTTGTGTCCCTGCTTGTACCTTCTGTTGCCTGTGCTTGTAATGCTGGTTCTGGTTCGTGTCCAGCAAGCTGGAAGTAGAATCTTTTGGTCTTAATCCATCGACATGTATCTACTACTGCCGCTGTACTAGCTGCTTCTTTCCGAGGATGGAAGTGTGTGAGCGATGGTACGCTTACAATTCAAACACACACCGGCAGTTTGTGAGTTTACTCTCGCATCCGTCTCTCCCACACTCTTTTAGCATGTTATGTTTTTTGTCGGCCCATTTGTCTGGTTTGTGACTCCCTTCTGATCTCTGTCCTCGGGTTTGTCCCACTCCCGATGACTCGTGAATCGCTCTTATACGCACAGCACCAATTTTATTGACAAGTAGAACACACCGGACGCTCAACACTGTGTAGATATTGCTGTTGTCGGTGATGTTACTGGTGCGGCATGTGTTTCGTTTGCCGATTTTGCGTGTTTGGCATAGCAGCATTTGCACACTTGATGTCCACTAAAATACATGACTACCGGTGTGCTCTTTGTCATACACGATACCACGATGATACCACCTTGCCCAGACGACCAAGCCCACGGATACAAACATACAATGCACGTAACTTGTGCATACAGTCACTTACATTACGCCTGCCGTATATGAAACCCTCCGACCCTCCGAACCCCCTCGCCTCAAGTATTCTCAACACTCAGCAACACACCTCACTTACTTGTTTTATCGCAGACGACCAAGGTGAGTGGGCGACGGCCACGACGAAGAAAAAGAAACAGACCGCTCCTCAGCACCACCACCACCCTCGTGGCGGCGGCGGTGGCTACGCCAACGGGCGGGGTATGGACGATCGGAGGGGCGGGCGCGGAGGCATGGCGGACAAGATGCGGGGGGTGAGAGAGGAGTCAGGAATTCGGGTGTGTGTGTGTGTGTGTGTGTTTGTGTGTCTGTTCGTTGGCGACGGAATTGTGGAAGATGGTAAGGCCTTATCGTGTGCTGGCTCAAAAGGGGTGTATGGGTCGGGTACAGGAACACGTCTTTTGCCCTCCCCCCCCGTTGGTGGCCCTATCTCTGTCACTCAGACGGAGACGCCACTGCTGTGACATACTTGCCGGGGGTCTATTTTCTTGACTTTGAAGTACTCATGGTGTTCGTTGCGCCGGAAAAGCAGAGCACGATGTGGCCACTCCATCCGGCCGTCTGCCCCAACAGCAGCAGCAGCAGCAGCAGCGTTGGCCTCCAGCACAGTCGCCTTTCTTGCCATCCGTTCTTGCCGTACCACACTACGTTGTCCCAACGATTTTCCGCACGTCTCTTTTTTGTCTTCCCCACCTCGCTCACGCACAGCTCCGCCTCGACGGTGACCGCGGCGGCTACCGCGGAGGAGGCGGCGGCGGCGGGCGGGGTAGGGGACGCAGCGCCCCCCCGGCCGGCGGCCGTGGCGGCGGCGGTGGCCGCGGGAGCGGTGGATCTCACCACTCGGGCGGCTGGGGCGGCGCCCCTGCTCCCAGCGGAGGCGGCGGCGGTGGTGCTTGGAACGGCAGCAGCAGGTCAAGTTCAATCCCTCCTCAGGTGTGTGAAGTACAGGGTTCCAGGCTATTCGATGTAGCTTCGTTTGTTGTTGTTGTTGTTGGCGCTTGTTTCTGTGTGCCGCGTTTTTTGTGTGGTATCGCCGTGTGTCGGCGCCATCGTGCTTTGGGAGCTTTGGGCGGATCGGAGAAAAAGCTGAGGTGTAAAACAAGGCGGAGATTTGACGCAGGAATATGAAGGAGTTCCTAGTTGTGGCAGAAGGCGTTCCTTAGATCGCATTGTACAGCTTGCCGGTGGTGAAGGGTGCTGCTGTAGTGTTGGTGCTTTTTCCTGCGCAGAAAGGGTCTACTCAGTCCTTGCAGCGTGCACTCAACGTTCGCCCCCCCATGCGGCACTCGATCTATCTACGCTATTTCAGGCCGCTAATGCGTCGACGGAGTCTAGCGGTGGCTGGGGGGCGTCGGCAAAGGCACCGGCGGCCGGGAGCGCGTGGACGGGCGACGGTCCCGCCGCAGTATCTGAAGCCGCCGCCGCAGATGCCGGCACCGATTCGTCCCCCCCCGCTGCCGCGGTGCCGGCCGCGTCCGGAGGTGGAGGGTGGGCAGCAGCCGTAGGAGGCAGCGCGCCGACCTCATCGCCGGGACCCTCTGCCTCCGCCGCGGCGGCATCGGGCGGCTCCTCCGGATGGAGCGGCGGGAGCGGAGCCGCTGCTGCTGCTGGGTCTTCGTCTTCTTCCCAGGCGCCGATGGCGCACAACGGTTGGTCGAGCAGCGCGCAGGACCCCGTGGCTCCGGGGCCGGTGGGCAGCGGAAGCGGCTCGCTCGGAGGAGCAGCAGCAACAGCTGGCGGCTCGGCGGCGGGCGCCCCCCAGCCGCCGCCGCCAAAGGAGGAAGACGCGGCTGCCTGGGCGCAGTCGAACCTGCCAGCGACCTCGGCGTGGAGCCGCGGCGCGGCAACGATCATCAACCCCAAGCCGAAGCCGGTGCCCGTGCCGCCGCCGGTGGCGGCGCCTGCAGCGCCACCGGCGCCCGCCGCCCAGCCCGCACCCGCACCCACCGCCGCCGCCCACCCCACCCTTCCGGTAGTGGCGTCGCCTGGAGGGGAGGCGGTGGCGGCGACGCCGCCGCAGACCCCCCGACCTCAGGGCTCCATGCCTTCGGTGGCGGAGACGGCGGCGGCGGCTGCGGCTTCGCCCGCGATTGGTTCCCCCGCGGTGGCGGTTAGCTCGCCGTCGCCGGTAGCGCGCCCGGCGGTATCGGCGGCCGCTGTCGCTGTCACTGCGCCGGTGCAGGTGGCCAGCGACTCGGTGGCGGTGGCGGCCGCTGCTGCGGTGGCGGCGGCGCCGTCGCCTGTAACGGCGGCGGTGGTGACCCCGGCGACCGCGCCTGGCTCTCAGCTCCACCTTCAGAAGGCGCAGGCGCAGGAGGCTTCGGCTGTGTCTAAGCCTACGGCGGTGAGATTCAGCCATGGTGTTCTTGTGTGTGTGTGTTTTCTTGGTTGGCATCGGATGGGGTCGAGAGACGTGTTGGTAGCGTTTTGGCTCATGGTATGCATATACACATTATGTTTTGGTGCCATGACGCTTGGGCCACAAAATGTATAGCTGCGTCCTTGTGCAAGTTAATGGTCTCTAAAGGGGTGTCAAGGAGCCGTGTCGGTTTGCGTTGGGCGGGCGTAATGACCTTGCCTCGAACGCAGTAGTCGAGTCAAGCACTGTTGTGGTTGGTGATGGCCGAGCGCGCTCCTAGTATGTAAATCGCGTGGGGTTACTTGGCATCGATGTGTACCACTGGCTCTTTGATTTTTGTTTTCGGCAGGCCACGGGCGCCTCTGCCCCCGGAGAGGGCCTGAAGATGGGCAAGTGGGGATTGAGCGACACGATCGCCAACGACGAGTCATTCTTGAGCTTCGGCCAGCTGTCGTTCGGCGTACCGGACGTTGGGGGTCCGGAAAGCCAGTCCCAGGTGTGTGCTGTGCTTGCAGGCACGTTCGTTGGTTTCAACGATGAAGTTTTTGTGTCTGTTTTTTTAATGTTTAATGTATCGTCCGTGCGTGTTTTAACTCTGCCGAGTGCGGGTAAGGGATGTGTGCATGTGCATGTGCGCCCACCTGCTCCAGAAGAACGACTCGACGGGCGTGTTTTGTGAGTCGTTTGTGGCTCGAGGGACTAAAGGTTGTTTACAGCGTATCTAGGTTTCCTTTTGACCCCCCCCCCCAAATCGACCCTCTGAGTTCGACCGCAAGTTAACACTTCAATTGGTCTAGCAGTGCCAAACAGGGTATGACGCAAGGGCATGCCCATGCCTCGTTGTCGACCGCGCTTGCGTATAGCCCAGGATCCGCACACGTCGCGCGACCGACAACCATCGTGTTTGGCGTTGGTGCCGTGTTCAGCCGAGCTGTAGAGGCACTGTTGTGTTGTATATTGGACACCTTTGTTGTTGTTGTTCTGCTTGTCACCATGGATGGCAGTAGTGAGGTAAGGGAAGGGATTTATACCAGTATCACTCGCGACTTGGTCGCCGGTTGGGTGATGCACTATAATATCCGCTTGTGCTGACCGCCTGTTTTCGTGTTCTCGCATGCGCTGCTGCTGCTTCTGCGCGCCGCTCGCGTTGCTGAACCTCCCCCCCCCGTTCCTCTGCGTATGCTGCTGCTTCTGCGCTCCGTGTATGCGCTCTCTCGTTCGGTCGTTCGCTCAGCAAACATCGACGTCAGTCGGGACGAGCGCTGGGAACGGGTGGGGCGCGACGTCGGGATCGGCTATGGGTTGGGGAACGAAGGACACGGCAACCTCCCCCGTAGAGACTCCGGTAAGTCGCGAGCTGTCTCTTGTGCCTTCTTCTCAATGGTTTCGTCGGCTTCTTCTTTCATGTTACGTTTCGATGTCAATCGTTAGCTGTGTTCCTTCCTTGATGTTATCTTTGAATGTTTTCGTGAGCTGCTGTGTCTGCTTTTATCATGCCATGTTTCGTTGTTGTCTTCCATCACTCCTGGTAGGATCTTTAGCTCGTTAGAGGATCTTTATCATGTTTTCGCTCATGAGAGGATCTTTATCATGTTTTCGCTCATGAGAGGATCATCACTCGTTGGAGGGGTGGTGTTCTCGTCTTGGGGGTAGGTAGCCTTGCGTCTGGGGAAATTGGGTTGTGTTTGTTTTTGTGAGCCCTTGTTTAGCCTTCTCTCGGTTTGTTTTTGCGTGCCCGTGCTCTTGGCTGTATTTCTTGCTGCGCTTTCTCATGCCATTTCGACAGCAGTCATGCTGGCACGCAGTCGACGAAACGGAAGGGGGGAGGGCATCTATGGAGGCCCAACAAGCACGCCATAAATGAGCCCCCCCCCCCAATGGTCACTGGTCTATCCGCTCAGCCCCCCTACCGAGAAGTGCTCCTTCCTCTCGTGGTCAATGGTCTAGCGGTTATAAGGCCTGCAAAGCATGAGTGCACCCCACCCTACCCTACCCCACCCCGATGCACTTTTGCCATGTAACAGGGTACCAAGCCACCGGGATTCTCGTCTACGGTAACGGCGTCGCCGTCGGTGCCGGTAGGCGCGGGCCCACCCCCGGGGCTCCCTCCTCTCGGCAACGTAAAGCAGGTGGGTGCGGCTACGAACAGACTGGCCCGCCTAACCCTTAAGAAATGCGTGTGTTTGCTTGCTGCCTTGGGTTAACGTGCTGCCCGATCGATCGATTTCCGTGTGGGTTGTTATTGTTGTTGCTCGGGGTGATTCCGCGGAAGTTTGGTTCCTTCTGTTTAGAGTATAAAAAACACAAACCACTTGTACGTGCCGTTAGTGGAGATTCCACGAGGTGGCGGCATGTGCGTGTATTTTATGTATTACTAGGGCACCGAAGGGTTCCCCCCGCCCCCAGTGGGGGCGGGGGGACCGAATCGCATGCGAGAGCAGTCGAGGACGGCGAAAAGTGGATGAAAGGCATGACATTGTTGGGAAGCAACATGTCCCGTGCGCGGGTTGTTTTTGTTTGGGCCGCCTACGCAGGATATTAAGAGTATGTAGAAGAAGAACAGGGAGGGGGGCACGCAGACTCTATCCCTAACCCTAACCCTAACCCTAACCCCAAAGCACGGATTGAATACTATATCCCATATGTTTGCATAATCAATTTTGCCGTGTAGACCACTAATTTGTTTTTGGTGTCGTGTGGATGATTTTATACCCGAGTGTTGGCGACATGTGGATGTTGGTTGTGGAATATGCATGATAGTAGATCGTTTTGATGTAAGCATGCGAGTGTTGTTTGTGGCCGGGCGTGTTTTCTTGTTTCGATCGCCGTCCGTATCAAGAATTCCGGCCGCGCTTGCCGGACGTCCGTCCTCCTCCAGCTGTCGGTGGGGGTTGGATGTGGTGTTGGAGGTTTATCTTTGATGCGTCATCGTCTCCATGAATTTTGTCAAGTTGTCCTTGATGGTGGTGGTGGTGGTGGCGGTGGTGACGTTACCGTGGTTTTCTGTCTCTCTCTCTGTTTGAGCAGGTGCATGAGCTGGAGGCAGAGATGGACAGCCTTAACAAGCCGCACTCGCAGTTTTCGCAGGTGGGGGCGAAGAAGAGGGGAGCAATCCCATATTTCGTTTAGAAAGTATGCATACGACCCAAAGGAAAGACTACTGTTATAAGTATTGTACACTGTTTTTTTTTGTGCACGCGTTGTCAGCGGCAGCAGCTTGTCCATGATGCTGCCGCAGGTAGAGGAGCAGCTGGCGCAGCGATCGTTGCTTCTTTTTTTTCTCTCTTCCAGACAGCACAATTCCATCTGTGGGAAGTCTTCTTTATTTGTTTCAGGGAAGTTGTTACCTTGCGAGTGGTTGGATTTTCTACGTTTCTACCGATCTCCCCTGCGGGTGTGTCTTGGTTGTGCTCCGCTTGGTTTGTTACTGACTCTCCTGGTGCCATGTTCGTGCTTTATTTGCCGCTCCGTTGGCTTTTGTCCGCTGATCCAAAAGGTGTCGAAGGCTCAGAGCAAGCTTCCGGCTGCGCAGCAGCCGCAGGTGCAGCCGCAGCCGCAGCAGCAGCCAGTGCAGCAGGTGCGTGTTGTAGTTAATGCTGGAGTTCATTTTTCTCAGTACCGTAGCGGTCCCACTATTGTTTGGCCGGTTCAATAGTGCCGGTCAAATCTCTGGACACATACCGGCGCTGTATCAGGATCTCTATACAGCTGAAGTGACACAACGTCATGGTGACTTGTCAAGCAAGCACGATCGCAAAATTAACGGTCGCGAGGATGGCCTTGAAAACTTCCTGTGACGGACGGACTCGAGCCGAAGAACGTATTGTTTTTTGAAGCGCTGGAGCTGTGGCACGAATCAATCAAGCAGTCGTGATGGATCGGGCGACCTCTTTCTCGCCTTTTTTTTTCTTTTTTTTTCTCAGACTTCTCAGACCCAGACAACCTCCCGGCCTCAGAGAACGACGTCCCGAGATCTTCCCCAGCAGCAGCAGCAGCAGCAGCAACCACGGCAGTCGCAGCCGGCAGCGGCGGCGACACAGCAGGCACAGCCGCCCCCGCCTCAAGCAGCAGCAGCAGCAGCTACGTCCGCGACGCAGCCGCCGGCCCCGTCCCAGCAAACACAGCAGCCTTCATCCCAGCAGCAGCAGCAGCAGCAGCAGCAGGTGCCTTCGTCAGCGTCGTCAGGGTCGTTGAGCCACCAGGGCGGGCACAGCCAACAACACGGGCAGCAGCAGCAGCAGCAGCACCAGCCGCAGCAGCACCAGCAGCACGTGCCCTCGTCTTCGCCGTCTTCCGTGTCGACGGCGCCCCCGGTGCAGCACCAGCAGCAGCAGCACCAGCCGCAGCACCAGCAGGCACACAGCCAGCAACAGCCGCAGCACCAGCACCAGCAGCAGCAGCAGCAACACCACCAGTCGCAGCAGGCGCACAGCCAGCAGCAGCACCAGGTGCGTTTGTTGTTGGCACCGACGGCTGCCTACGGGTGTGCGCGCTTTCGTGCATGCCGTACCGTACGCGTTTTTTCTTGTCAAGACATTTCTCTCGGTCATGGAAATAGGTAGTATCTGGGCAAGTCTCAGCCTTTGTGTCTTGCCCCCCATCCCTCTGCAGCTTGCCCTTCGCTTTTTTGCCGCGTGGAAGCGGGGGTTCCGTACACGTGTTTGCCATGTGCCACCCACCCCTCTTGCTATCCCACGGCTTCTCGATGCCTGCGACATTTGTACTCCGGAGTAGCTTTTTCTTGCGCCCAGACTATGCGCCCTGTCCTTGCTGCGGAAGGGGGGGTTCCGTGGAGGGATGTACCCATCCCACCCACCCACCCACCCGTAGTAGTGTTCTTGCACCCAGACGATGCACCCTGTATCGTGGAAATGAGCAGCGTGGCATCACCATTGGCTCGACTGACACACTGCTGCATACGTTCCCGACTCGCCTTTTGTTTTGTGTTTTTTTTTTCTTCTCAGCGGCCGGCAAGGCAGCAAGGAGGCCGAGGCGGCTACAACAGCAAGCCGCAGTACTCCAACAGCGGATCTCTCCCTCAGCAGGTGAGGGAACAACGTCGAACGGACAGATCTAATCTGTGGTACATTACTATGTTTTTTTTTTTTTGCTTGATGGATCGGAGAAGAGGATCCCTTTCCTTGTTCTTCATAGGCAAGCGAACAACGGATTTTGGCCCGCACAGTACATCTAGTGGGGACCCAACGAGAGGTCGTCCAGCTTCGTAGCCCTCTGCACGTAGTAAACCTGACGTCCGAAGGGGACACGCGGCTGAGACAGCACAACGGTGCGTTATACATCATCTCAATTTATTGTGGTGTTGTTTATGTCGTTGTCGCGCGACAACAACCAATCGCGCCACGCTCAGGGAGGAAACAGCAACAGCAACAGCAACAGCAGCAGCAACTTCTACGGCAGCAGCAACAGCAACAGCACCTCGGGGCTGTCGAGCTCCGCCAAGCCCGCGCCGGGCGGGGTCTACTCGGCGCCAACGCCGACGTCCACCCACAGCGGCGGCGGCAGCGGCCACGGCAGCAGCTCCCACGGGTCGCCGGGGACGGCATCGACGGCGGCCTCCAAGACTCTGTACGGCGGCGGCGGCGGCGGCGGCGGCGGGGGGGGGCAGCAGACCGCCAGCGGCGGCGGCGGGAGTTCTAGTGGCGGCGTTTCGGGGACCGGGGGACCGGGCGGTATGGGAGGGATGCAGCAAGGGCAGCAAGCACCCCAGCAGGTGAGTGTTAACAACCCTGACCCTCTAACCCTTAAAGTTGGTGGTGGGCGGGGAGTTGTGGGCGTGATGGAGAGCCTTACCCCAAGGTTTGTGATGTCGGTTTGGTGGGTGGTGGCTTGGATATGCGGTGGTGGTGGTCCTGTGCGTGTTTTTTTTGTCGAGGGCGCAGCATGTGCGTACTTGTGGACCTTCGGAGTTTCTCGACCGCGCCGCAGAGTGAGTCCTATTGCCGATGTTGTGCCGGGGGACAACCCTGCGATGGTCGGTGCGTGTGTTCATGCTGCTGCTCCTGTTGCTGCCGCTGCTCCCGTTTTTTCAACGGGTTGAGAAGTTGGCTAACGTGTGGGTTGTTGACTCGCGAGTAAGTCTTGGGTCGTGTTTGTTTTTTCTGTGTCCGATTGAGCGCTACATTCTGTGTAGATTTTGCACAGCGCCTGCTATGTGCTCGTCTTATGTTTCCCCCCCCGTGGCGGTTTCTGTCCGTGTGCAATCAACGTTTCGTCGCCCCTCCCCCCCCCTTTACCAAGGCACCACCCCCGCAGCAGCAGCAGGGTTACGCGCCCACACCGCCCGGTATGCCGGCGCAGGTGGGGTACCAGTACACCCCTTCCGGCCAGGCCTACGGAAGCATGTAAGGATCGTACCGCGCACTACAAGTTGGTTTGGTTGCAACCCCCACCCCACCCTGCTGACGGCACTGTTGGCCATGATCGGTGATCGGTTGCTGTGGGAACAATGCTCCGTGCTTTCGTTGTGAACGGTCTGTAACAGCTGAGACATGCACAACACGAGAGTGCCCCCGGCCCCCCGATTCGTAGGATGAGTTGAGGCTTCCACGGTGAGGTAGGTAGGTAGGTCGTCGGGAAGAACGACTTCCGCCACCAGGTTGTTCTGTCGTGGGGTCAAACTCGTTGCTTGAAACGGCCCAGCGTTGGCGGCGGCTGCTGCTGCTGCTGCTGTGTTGTAGATACTCGCGACCAAAATAAAGTGGCTCTGTGATGATCATACTTTCACGCTGCCTTGCTTTGTTGTTGTCGTCGTGTCGCTGTGGAAAACCTCGCCTGGCAGTTACTACGGCCAGCAGGGGCCGGTCCAGTCCAACCCCTACCAATACGGGTACCCGCCACACCAGTACCCGCCGAGCGCAAGCCAGTACCAGCAGGGGGGCGGCGGACAGCGCTTCCCGAACATGCCTCGCGGGTAAGCGGAACATCCTCTTTGTTTATGTGTGTTTTATTTTTTGGTCCTGTGTGTGCATGCATGCTGTCTGTCTCGGTCAAAGCTGCAGGCGGCTCCGTGTCACCGTGCGTACGTTGTGCGTATGCATACTCGCGGGATTTTTTTTTCCCATATCGGCAACAGGTATGAAAGCCGCCGCCCTGCATCCCGTCCCTTGTTGATTTTTTTTTTTTTTGCTGTGTGGTGGACGGGGTTGGTGGTCAAACGACCGTGGTGAACCGAAAAAATCGACAGGTACCCGGCTACAGAGTACGGGAGCCAGGGCGGGATGGGAATGGGCTACGGCCAGATGGACTACTCGGCGAGCAGCCAGTACGGTGTACCGGTACGTGCCGTGCCCTCCTCGATTCAGTTACCGATACCAGAAAAAGAACAAGGGGTCCGGGCGAAGGCTTCGCAGTAGCAGGGCGCATGCTATTTTTTCTTTTTTGTTTGTCGGTCGGTCGTTTTTTGCCGTTCGTTGGCCGTCGGTCGTTGCGGTTGGTTGGCCGTCGTCTGAGACAGCAGTGCAAGCAGGGGACGGGTGGCTGTAGTGCATGACGGCCGGCGGCGTGGCATGCTTTTTAAGAGAAGTAGAACGCTTGATGGTGGTGTCGTCGTCAGTGGTTTCGTGGTCGCGGGGGCTTCGGCATGGGGGGTACAAGAAAGGTGAACCCCCCTTCCCTCCCCGAGTCGTCCGGTCGCCTCGCCGCCCTGTTTATGCCGCTTTGGTGTTACTGTAAACTGTCGTGACTAGTGCCTCGTGTTTTATCTGAGGTCATCTCGACTCTTGATCGTGTATCTATTCCTCCCTAAATTATAAAGCTGTTATTTGGAGTACAATATACGGTTGAATTTGACTCAACCCCCCACCCTCCATTTAATCTCAAAACTCTTGTGCCCTGCATAACGTTCGTTTTTTTTTTTTTTTGCGTCGTCGTCCAGCCTAACGGGAACGGGTACATGAGCGACGTGGGCAAGGAGCAGTACGGCGACTTCGGCCAGGACCAGTTCGGCATGCCCCAGCAGATGTCCGGCCAGGGTGGCGGCGGCGGCGGCGGCGGTGGGAGCGGCGGCACCTCAGGCGGCGCCGGCGGCGCCGGCAGCGGCGGCGCAGGCGGTGGGTCGGGCGCCTCCGGTTCGAGCGGCCTGGGCGGGCAAAGCTTGTCGGCCGTGTCTACGACGGCCGTCTCCGGCGGCGGCAGTGTTGGCGGAAGCGTCTCTGACAAGGTTTCCTCGGGCTCGCAGCTTTTCGGCCGGTGCCGGCGGCGGCGGCGGCGGCGGCAGTGGGGGAAGCGGCAGCGGAAGCGGCGGCGGCGGCGTGAACAGCCACTACGGCGGCGGCGGCGGCGGCGGCGGCGGGCACAACAGCCAGGGCAGTCGCCAGGCGCAGGGCATGTACGGCGGCGGCGGCGGACAGGGCAGCGTTCCCCAGCAGGTGATGAGAGGAGGAGGGTGGGGGCGGCTTCTTGGTGATGGGGAGGGGGGGCGGAGAGAAAGCTAGACTGCTGTTTTGTTATTAGTGGTTGAAGTGTTTGTTGCGCCGAGGAGTTGCTGTTGTTGTGCTTGGACGATACGCTCGAAAGTCTAGGCAAGTCGCTCTCTCGATTGGAAGTGGGAGGGCCGTTTACCGACGCGTTTTGACACTCTGCCGAAACGTATTGGGACACGAGAGTGACTACGCGCGCGAGTCCAAAATGAGGGATCCGGCAACGCTGGTGCTGATAGTATCAGTGCAAGGGCCGTTCGGTGGGACGCGGATAAACATCCATAATTCAACCCCCTAGTGTTTTTTCACCCTGTGCTAAGCTTGCCTCCCTTGCCCAATGCTTTACCTGACCCCCCTGTCTCATCGGCGGGTCACTACTGTAAAACTCTGCTGAACACAGTAGTGTACGCAGGATACTAGAAAACATGTTGGATATGCCACAGGATCGCCGAAGTTGGGGTTAGGGTGTAGGGCCTTCGTACCCCCTGCCTGGTCTTTTTCTTTGCGTAGGCAGTCCGCCGAAAGCGGAATTGATACGTGTCGTACCTATAATAACTATCCTGCAGTAGGCGGAACTGCAATGAGGGTTTCAAATTTGTCTAAACGCGTGCATATGTATGACGCATAAGATTTTGAAGTCGGCCCCATGCGAAATTCCATATAATATAGAGAGGAATTCAAAACTCAAGGGTACCACATGTGTTGCATCTTGCCGCAGGGGGACAGCCAAGGCGGTCACGGATGGCAGGGGCAAGGCTCCGCCTACCCGGGCCACCACACGTCGAACGCCGGAGGGTGGGGAGGGGGGGCGGGGATGATGCCCCCAGGCGGCCCCCAGCACCACTACCAGCAGGTGCGTGTTAACGATGAAACGGCGGCAAGCATGCAAGCAAAAGTTACGCGAAGCAGATGGCTTGCGTTGTGTGTGTCGTTCGAATTGGAATCGACCGCGCTGCTACAACCGGCTGACCTATGAAAACACGTCAGCCTCTTGTATGTGTTTTTTTTGCTTGCTTTTACTTGTGTGTCGTCACCTCTCGTCTTTTGGAGTGTGACAGACAGCACCCCTTCGTGGTGTCGTTCGGTTGCACCGTTAGCGCGGGTGGTCGGGGACGCTGGGAGGTACAAGCATTAATACCTGATGGCAGATTGTGTTGTTGGTGCTTCCCAGAGGTTTCGAACAGGGCAATCGCAACCAGGTTTCGTGACTTGGATGGACGGGTGACTGGTGTTGCTGCTTGTGGGTGTTGCCCGGTTCGTGTTGACCTTTGTTGAAGAATCCCCCCCCCCCCCGGTGCATTGCTCCGCCCAAATATTTAAACGCGGGGAAGGCTGCTGCTGTTGGCGTCCGGATATCTTGCTCTTTCATTTGTTTGGCTTACCCGACCCTATCCCCCCGATGCCAACACCACCATCACGCACCATCCTCTTTCGTCCCTTTCTCTTCCGCGGCACTGCGAAATGCGCGCTTTGACAGCAGAGCCCCCCCCCGCCCGGCGGAAGCATGCAGTCGCAGCAGTACGGCTACGGCAGCACCGGTAACGGCGGCGACTCGTGGGGCAACGGCCGCTAAGACACGATCGTCCTCTCCTCTTGTTCCTATCGTTTCTCTCCGTTTTGGCCCTCCGGTTCGGCTGGGGGTTGCAAACGAGGGGGGGGGGGAGGGAGGGGGGGGTCCGTGTGACTCTGACTTGGCTGCTGGGGTCGCTCTTATTTCCGGAACACGCGGCTGGTCGTGATGTTCTGTGTGTGGAAGGGGGCGCCGCGGGTGGATCCTGCAGGGGGAGGGCGGTGTCCTCCCGGCCTTCCGATGGACTGACGATAGTTTCAACCGACTCGACTCTCCCTGGCTGTTTTTCTTGTGTGTTTTGGTGTTAATCTTCTTCATCGTTTTGGTTTAGTTCTGTTCTGTTGGTGGGTAAAGGCTGTTTGTTGGTCGCGGTTCGGTTCGGTTCGGTTCGGTTCGGTTCGGTTCGGTTCACTTTTGGTTTCTTTTCATGGTCTGGTTTGATTCGGGGTATCTCGGTGGAATATTTCGGGTCTGTTTTGGCCTTTGGGTTTTTCCTTTCGTTGGTAGGTTCCGTCTATTCTTGGACTCTCTCTCCTTGCTTTTCCTTGCCGTGTCTCTTCTTGTTTGTTTTTTACCGCTCTCTGTTTTTTGTCTTTTGAGTCTAAAACTCGAAGCTTGACAGGAGGTACACACGGGGGGGGAGGGCAGGGCGACGAGAACAAAAGATGAAACACGGCAAAACTAGGGAAGAGTTGGGAGACCTGTTTTGTTTTCGAGTGCACATGTTTTTTTTTATTGCCAAGGACGGGTGTGGTGTTCGGCTGTCGTTTCCCGTCCTCTCTTTTTCGCCAAGTTTGTCGTGAGTTCTAGGCAAGCGGTGTAAAGAGAGAGAGAGAGAGAGTCACGGGTAGCTCTTACCGATACAGGATCGAAAGTGTGTGGAGGGGGGGGGTATAGTTGGACGCGTGTTGAGGGAGGCGGGACGTGGGGCTCCGGAAATTTTAGAGGGAATGCCCTGCATCGCCTGCCTCCCCGTCTTGAGAAGGGCGTGCGCTCGTGATGCTGCATTTTTATTACGATCGCGGAGGAATGATATATGAAACACCGCCATCCCGTAGATGGCTGTGACAGCAGGGGACGTGGCGTTCTCGACTTTGAAGAAAGAAGAAAAGGCAGTGTGTAGTAGCACTTTTTGTGGGCGGAGGTGAGAAGCTGATGTCTGCTTCCTTTCCCCCACGATGACGATGGGCGGTGCGTATAGGGTAGTAGGTAGCTGGCACGCGAACGCTGTCTGTATCATGAGCTAGCTGTGAATTGTTGCCGTCATGTCTTTTGTCTCTTTTGTAGGTGAGGCCACGGGTCTTTTAACTCCCGGCTCTTGTGACGTCATATTTGCGTGAGACGGGAGGAAGAGAGAGGAAAAACGAGATGCCTGTGGACAAGCGATAGATGTATCGGTGGTGTGGATCATCAGGGAAGAAGAGGAATTATTTTTTCGTTCGGCCCTTTGCCGTCAAATAATCCGTTTCCAACACAACAAAACTTAAGCTACACAACACAAAAATCGGTGGTCGGGGGGGGCTCTCCCAGCAGCAGCAACAGCAGCAGCAGCTGCAAACACGAGGTTGGGTGTCCGTATCTGGAGGTACTACACCTAGAAGCGGTGGGAGTTTCCTCCTATCCATTTCTGCTACAGCAGTACTGCTGCTGTTGGGGTATCCTGGGTCGTCACCTCAACGACTGACGTCATGTATCTCTCTGTGAGGTTGAATAACATGAACGCAAAGGGTCGGCCCCCTCGCGATTGGGTGTTGTTGGCGTTTAGTTTGCTCTTTCTTACGAGTGAGTCTCTTGGGAAGTGGAGGTGGCGTTTGTGCTCGTTCGTTCTGCGGCGCCCCCGCCGAGTAGCTAGAACAAGGGGGGGGGGGGGGGGACCCCACCAGGAGGCTGCTGTCGCTCAACGGCGTCGCAAGCGACATCAAGGAGGTGTGAGAGGAAATATAATACGACGTGTAGATGAAAACGGTATATGGTAAGAACTCAATGAAATGCTGGAATGACGTTTTAAGTGCCGTGTCTGTTTTTTTTACCTAAAAAAAATATAAAATATACTATCTGCTGCAGTATGCCTGACATCAATACGGCAAGAAGAGTGGTTTGGAGACTCACAACACGTCCTCTGCATGCATGCATACCCCGTCTCCACGCACATGCACATGCACTGCTTGCAGTGGAGCACCACCTTTCTTCCCACTCGTATGACAGATTAGATGTATGACAGATGTACGTATGTTTGTGGCGTGTGTACACACTCCACGTCACGTGTTTCTTCTGGGTCATGCATGCGGCCCGTCCCTTGGTGCCGCTCTCTGGTCTCTGCCTTGCAGACAAAAAAGAAAAAGGCAAGACAGCTCTCTCTCGGAACCCGACCGACAGGAGCCAGCCACCGTTCGTTTGGGTCTGGTGCGCGCACGGTCCCCGCACACTTGACGCTGCTGTGCTGTTGCTGCTGTGCCAACAAACGGTCGGTGTTAAATTAACCAAGGCCGAAGAAGCAGGAAACAAACGCGTTCTTCCCTTCAGCCCATCTTGCTCGCTGCCCCACCGTTGTATTTAATGTAGCATAAATATGAACGTACGTACGTACGTGCTGTCCCACGTGCTACCACCGCTTCCTCTCGGCTACGCCCACGACGTGATGACTCTACATCTACCACGGTTGAACACAGGAGGAGGGCTGGCTGGCTGGGCGTTTGTTTTCTCTCACAAAAACGCGCAAGCACACCCTCGGGCTTCTTCAGCACCCCTTCTTTATTTTTCGAAAAAACAAGGCGCGCTACACATTGACTTGACATGTACCACCACGTGCTGCCGCGTCCTCTCGGCTAGCTGCATGTATGCCCAATGCCCAAAACGAAAAATGCGAAAAAGGCCTTTGTTTTTTTGCTTGGTGTGGATAAGACTGCGGTACGCAGCAACAATAATGCGGTACGCAACCCAGCAGGCCGACCCGAACGGCGTCGTCCGATTCAGCTTCGGAGTGGTATACATATGATCCAGCACCTCTCCTCCCTTCACCCGCTCCTTCCCCCGTTTTGCCCATCGTGGGAGAACACGAACGACTTCCAGCTCTTGATTGATAGCTATAGTTGTTGACCTCCCCCGGGCGCTCCCTTACCCTGTTACCCTGAACCCCCCCCCCTCGGATATATTATGTAACAAGGACGGTGCCATAGACCCAACGTACATCCCTTCCGACCGACTGCATTGTGTAAACGAGTCAAGACTCGATGATGGTTAGAGAGAAAGCTCAAGCACCTCATCGCACCTTGCTACATACCCCTGGAGAAAAACAGCGAGAACACCGAGATGACGTGGAGAGAACCACACCAAAATAACCACGAAACACCACATAGATGGACAGCAAGAGCGTGTGGTCGTCAGCATCAACAACATCTTCACCGGCAACAACACCAACAACATCAACATAACAACAACAACAACATTAACAACAACACACACAACAACCACGAAGAAGGTAAGTTAAGCAGCAAACGACAGAAATAATAACACAAGAAGAGCACACCACCCGACGAGCTTCGACCCCGGCTTCCTCAGGCAGAACAAGCAACATCAACCGACTCACATTCACCACAGACAAACACTACCACGTCTCTTCTTCGTTGGTTAGCTGTTTAGCGCAGTCGATGCTACCGTAACAAACGCCGCCGCCCCCCCCCCCCCCC